TCAGTCAGCATGGATTGCCAGTAACAGTCGTGTCAGATAACGGGGCACAGTTTACGTCCTGTCTATTTGCTGCATTTTGTGCACAGAATGGGATCCAGCATGTGAGGACGGCGCGGTATCATCCGCAGTCTAATGGCCAAGCGGAAAGATTTGTGGATACCCTGAAACGAGCATTGTGGAAGTCAAAAGAGGAGGGATCGTTGAACGAAAGATTGGAACGTTTCCTGTTGAACTATAGAGTTACCCCGAATCCTAATGCACCAGATGGCAAATCACCAGCTGAAGCACTTATGGGTCGAAGGTTGAGAACCACACTAGATTTGCTGACCCCAAGCGCCCGTCTATACAACTACGGAATTCAGTGATGGAGCGTCAGTACAACAGGAGGTATGGTGTAAGAAAAAGGATTTTCAAAGTGCGCGATCTTGTGTTTGCAGCTGCGAATCGAGGACGGCAGATCGCATGGATACCAGGACGAGTCGTGCGGCGCCGAGGCAACGTGATGTATGATGTTCAAGTGGGTACACAGGTGTGGAGACGCCACGTAAATCAGTTGAGGTCACGTTATACACATGGTGCCACCGTTCCGAAAGCCAACGGACTTGACGTCAATGAATTGCTGGACACCTGCAAGCCTAGTACTCCTGCAGGTGGTGACGTTAGTCCAGTGAAATGCCTGGAAAATGGAGCTCGCTACAGGCCAAAGAGAACAAGAAGCTTCGTGCAGCCCCTCCAAGTGGATCCGCGTCGAAAGACCTATGTGGACACCAGGTAACCCGTCCTTTAAAAGAGAGGGAGGTATTAGGAGAACAGCTATTAGACATTCATTTATTGTGACCGAGCTTGATAGCTATTCTTTACTCTTCCTATTTTCTGTTTCTTGACTGTTGTTTAAACGCTCTACTGGGTTCGCCCGATTAGTACATCCGCGGCATTGTTAATGGACGCTCCTCCTCATGCCTTTCTCAGCAGCGCTGTTTGCAAGAACATATTCCATTGGTTTTTTCTTCTCATTACTCTTCTACTTGGTTATGTTAAAGGAATATTTAGTGTCACACAATCATTGTACTAGTTTTCAACTTTTGGGCCTGCATTCCTTATTCGCGTTTGTTTCGTGACTTTTGTTTAAACGTTTCATTTCGTCATTCTGATTGGCCAGTGCCCGTCACTGTAAATGGTCGTTCGCTTTACGCTTGGAGTCCAATGATGCTATTTTCAGGGACCTACGCGATTCGCTCTTACATACACGGTTGCTTATTCGCCGTTGCATTTTACGTTTTTCCTTCAGTTGGTTGGCTCAAGTGTACTTTAGTAGCTTCGCTTCATTTTGCCTTCAAACTATATAAGCAACTGTGATTTCATGTATACAAGTCTCCTTCTGGCTCGTCTTTGGACTTCTTCTTGCGGTCGTGGAGTGAAGGCATCAGCGGCGACACAACACCATAAATATCAGGAAGCCCACGTGATTAGTAGCAGAGAACCTATACTTTACATTCAGTGCACGAGACACTAATGAATCCCAGTTCCGACAATTCAATTTAGTTATTGCCAAGCTGATATCATCAGGAATAAGAGGTCAACTGAGCACTCATATCTTCAAAGAGATTATATAACCTTTCCACATATACCGTAATTACTGTAAAAAGATTAGTTAAAGGAATCAAAACAAACAAGCGCTTTTTAAATTTTCCTATTGTATTGCTGTTTATTGGTACAAATGTTAATAATTTCCCTTGGGTATGGCAGCACTGAGGAAAAAGATTATGGAAAACAAAATTCTATATAAAGCACTCGCCATCGTTCATGGACGTTCACGCATAAAAGGTCAAAATTTTTCAAAGAAGGAGCAAACTTTTGCAAACAAATTCCAAAACTTCGCAAAGAAAGTCCAAAATGTTGCAAAACCTTGTACGATTGGCCAGCCGCTTAGAACCAATCCTCTGACCTTAAGTGTGTTCTCATTGGCCGGATACCAAGGTTCGGTGCGTTAGTCTGGGGAGGTGAGCGCGCTGCCCGTTGACTGGGTGAGCCATGTGAATGAACCTTAGAGGAATGCACTTCGACGGTGCAACGGGCTTGTATGCGCCCCCCTCACGTCCGAAACGATGGATCACAATTGGTCTGAGAGCAATGAACATACAGTGCATTTGATAAGAGTCTTTCGTTTTTGCTTAGGCGCCGCGCTGGTCAGGGGTAGATTGGAACGCACTAATTTGCCGACCCACCAATGGCATGTAAGTCTACTGTATTTACTCACCCACACATGTCTGGGGGTGTGAATACGACGTGAGGACGCATATCGGTGCATGTGTCCTTGAAATATGTTAATGACCCTCGTCGAGTTCGACAAAGGCCAGCTCAGATTGGGTCGATGCCGACGTTTTTGGCTGGTGGTTTGCAACATCTCGACAGCAGTGCGTAATGCACTGGCTACCGTGTTCAAATGTTGATGGCGCTTCGACAGTTGCTTAATGTTATCCCAGCAAATGATAAAAGGGTTAGTGACAACGCTGTTGTAGACTGAATGTTACCTTCACATAAACCACCTTAGCAAAATAAGAATTCGTAACAATTAGGCGGTGAAAATATGAGATGCTACTTCTGCATAAATGAGTCCGGAACAATGTCTACCAGCTACTGGAGGCTCATCGGATCTATTTGCAAGTGCGCGGCCGCCTAAGGAGTTAATTCCAGCAGAATACAGAAATAAAAAGAAAGCTGAGTGCAGTGCCTTTTGAACAGATTTTATCAAATCTCATTTTATTCCATCAGCTTGGACAATTAAATCAAAATCAGTTTCGCAATGAGCATGAGAAGGAATTTTACAGTATTGGTATGGTAAAAGAATCCTAAAGTAGATAAAGAAGCGTTTAGGTCAAATCTAATCACCCATTTTAGAAAGAAAGGTGATGGAAGAATCCAGCGCGTACGATGCATTTATTTGATGAAGCCAGTCTGTTTACGGCTGAATATTCAAGCGTTGTTGGTGTATTAAGCATTTTATTGACTTGACTTGAGTTCCCCGCCTTGGCAGACTTGAATGTTTAAATATTCCTTATCGCCCAGATACGTATCCGGCCAATTTGGAAAACCTTAATATGCCATCGTACTAGAATTTTTGGTATTTTAAGTATCCATGGAAACTGTGTAAATAGATCACTGAGGATTCACGTTCAACCGTTTGTTCCACGGTCATGACACATTCAGTAGTTGCGAATGACTTAACAAGCGTAAAAGTATTGCCCATTAGTTAATTTCCGGTGGCCGGTGGGACTCTCTGGGACTCTTTTAACTTCCGATATAATTCCACGGGATGTACAGCTGAGCGGCTAATCGTACTCCCACAACGACCGAACAACAACAGATCATGGTGACGTGCTGGTATAGATTTGTTTTCCTATTTCGTTAGACTGCTGCTACCAAAAGAAATGCGGATGTTCTACGTGTGCCCTAAAGCTCGATCCACCTGAGTGTTGGCGAAATGTGGGTGGGTGAGATTTACTGTTTTATGTGAAGCTGCCGTTTGCACTAGTTGCAAAATACCCAAGACAAAATGAACCGTAATCGCTTTCAGCTCATACGTCCTTTTGACACGTCAAAGAAATAGAACAAGGGTTCAAATTCCCTACAGGCCTAGTGATCTGGAAGCAGAGAGTGCGGAGATGATATCTGAGATTGGGGCAGCACTACACGTATGCTGGTGGACTCGCACCAAACCGCAATCAGATCCCTCATGTATGAATTTGAAGTTGACGAGTTGCTAACAACTTGTCGTGGAGTGTGAGGCATGAATCCAGTAATACCAAGTGAACATCCAGTGGCCCTAGCTTGGCGAAAGCTGCTGCTGTCACACTCGCTTCCATAGCAGTCATCCTAGGAATACTGTAAACTGGCTTCCATGAACTTACCTGAGCTACAAATCAAGTGGACTGGTCACTACAGCAAGATTCATCTATCGAAGCAATATAGGCAATCCTAAAGGAGTATGGAAAACGATTGTGCGCAAGATCCGTACCCCTCAATTATCAGATGGTTGCACTAATGAAACTAAAATGGTTCGACAAGTATATTTTATTTCATTAGACATTGACGTGTACTAAGGAATAAATACAGTCCGATGGGTTCTGCCGCCGATTACGTGGTGTCATAATCATGGCTGATTTCACGCAACAGCACCAGTGTTCAAAAATCCCAGCCACAACGAAGACGACCCACAAGAGGATCATTCATTAAGTGACGCTGCACTTGAGGAGTACAGATGACGGAGCAATGTTAAAGGGTTCAGCCGGGCAGTCCCTGACTTCCAGGAGGGACCATGCGTCGGCACTTGTGGTGCATTTCAATTCCTTATTCACAAATATTTAGGAGGCGGTACAGAGTTTGATTTGTGTAGGCCCTGCCCCTTTTGACAGAAGAATTTCGGCATAGTAGATGCTCGCAAGATATTCATTGGTAATTGGCGGTGCTTCACATGCTATACCTAACGATTCGCATTTACTTGTCTGCTTCAAATCTGTGCGAATCATGTTCCACATTGAGATTGCGGGTCGCATTGTGGGTTTGGTAGCATCCACCATTCAAATATGCTTCACTACTTGTCGGTTTGACGCATGTCCTCGCAAACCATTGCTGGTCAGGTTTTAGACTAAGATGAGAACATTGCAGAATGCTGAACTGGAAAAACCAGGTTAACTTGCCAACAAAAGTAATTCGATGGCTTATCAGTTCGTCTTCATTTCGGAAGGAAGAAGTGATCGTTGGAGACAATGAGATGAACGCTTATCGAACCATTAGCAATTTGTAGGTCTGTCGAAAAATGCAAGACTTGATAAGGCGCAACCTTAACAGTTTATTTGTAACCAGTCATACGGATTAAAATATTCACCATACTTAATTGATTGTCACTTTCTATCTTTGTCTGCTATTCTATGTTGCTCTCATAAGTTGATCTCGCAGTCCACTGTTACGTTAATTCTGATGCAATTGATGTATTGCTTAGTTGGGAGCGTCATTGGTTGTAGCCGCTAGTCATGCACACGGACGCACATCTGTGAACCAACACGCAGTCCACTGATTGGTCTCGGCGCGATGAAATCCTACGCTGCGCTGAATCCTTGTAATATGATAACCAAACCGATCCATGTCAGTTCGCTTTCTTAGCAATGCCGAAGGTGCATGCACCGCTGTCCACGGTTGATCTGCAAACGAAGTCTCGTGACGTGCCAGTAGATCAGCGCGTAATGCTTCTACGACTCTATTTTGAGTGTCATTCCAACGCCGCAGCAACGGCACGACTCTACAACAATACGCACTGCACATTGAGGCCGGTTAACCCGCAGTACGTACTCCAACTTGTGAAGAAATTTAACAAAACTGGGAGCGTGTGCAACGCCAAACGAACTGGGCGGCCTCGTACTACCACGGATGAGATTTCCGCTGGTGTTGTTGTCGAAGAGGTTCGTCAAAATAGTCATCTCAGCATTCAGAGGATCGCCCAACACTGTGCCACTACACCATATGCTGTGCACCGGATATTGAAGGAAAGGGAATTCCGAAGGTATGGTGCATTGCAGGTGCAAGTGTTAAAACCAGACGATTCGGTGAATCGTCTTACATTCGCTCGCTTGTACTTGAATACCTTGGACGTGCATTCCATCATGTTTACCGATGAGGCCATTTTCCGTCTGCATGGTACACAAAAGCGGCATGTTTGGGCCACCAATAACCCACGGCAATGCATCGCCTCACGTGTGCAACATGGCACACAGGTCATGGCCTGGGCTGGACTAACAAGTCGAACAATCATCGGACCTTTCTTCTTTTCTCAAAATGTGACGGGTAAGTTGTGTAGCAGAACTAATACATCACACTTCTTAGCCTCTTCATACAAAGAAATGTTGCAGACGTGGGTGATTCCGCGGTTGCATGCGGAAGGACTGTTGAGTACGGTTTGGTGGCAGCAGGATGGTGCACCGGCCCATTCAGCACGAACCGTGAGTCAGTTCCTGGACGACACATTCGGTCATCGATGGATTGGTCGGGGAGGACCACTGGAGTGGCCGGCACGTTCACCGGATATGAATCCCCTTGATTTCTTCCTTTGGGGATACCTGAAACGAAGAGTTTATAAAGTGAAACCCACGTGTGTGGAAGAACTGAAGCGGAGCATCGTGGAAGAATGTCGCGCGATATCCGTTGACACATTGCAGAGGGTTATAGCCAACAGCATCCGGCGAATGCTGCTGTGCCAGCAAAACGGCGGTGGGCATTTCGAGCATCTACTTCGTTAATTGTTCGACTTGTTTTACGTACTGCATTTCAATACATCTGTCGCATAACCATTGACTTCAGGACTAAATCGCGGCTATGGCTAATGGTGCCGATATTGCGTCGGTGTGGAGGGAATATCGTGGGAGTTGCCTGAAGAGAACAAGACGTTAACGTGAGCAGCGTACACGGAAGAAATCGTTGTACCTATAGATGGGCCTCAGCGCCGAAAGGTCTCGTTGGCGGACAGGGTTAGGGTGATAACACTGGCTAGATCGTAGATAAACATACCATGGCATTCCAAATAGCCCGTCAATGCGTCGGCCAGAATTTCTTCCATAACTTTGGCGAACACCGGGAGAAGATGACCGGGCGGTTATTGGCAGGCTGGTACCGACTTGCTCCCTTGTGAATAGGTTTGATGAAACCTAGTTTCCACTTTGACCGAGCTATGTTGCAGTCCAGAGATGGCTGAAATAATCCGTCTAGGTGCGTGATTGTTACCTTTAGTGCTTTTGGGGTGGCTATTGTCCACTCCAAGAGATATGTGTGTAGGATGGTAATGGCATTTTCAGTACCGTTTCCGCAGTGAATGTTACGCCGGATCAAACTGCTACTTTGTGCACTTGTCCTCAAGCACCAAGTGCACAGAGTCGTCCGCCTGAGTTGCGTACACCGTCCAATTTTCTGAACTGCGATTGTTTCTATAACCATGCCAAGTCCGGTCCCTCAAGACCATATATTTTCGTGTTCGGCTTCTCTGAAAAGATTTCTTTTTTAGGGGAGGATGAAAAGCTTTCGGTTCTGATGCCTTCGCGACTAGGGATTTGAACGTGCCCACAAATTTGTCCCAAGCTGGTTCTGGAATACACAGACAGGGTGCGATTATGTGCAATTGATGGCATCTTCTTAGGCTTAGCTTAGACACAGCTCCTCGATCGTTTCTGTGAAATGACGCATACAATGCGATTTCATCAACATTCCTTATCCACAAACACGTGCAGCGAGTAGTTCCTTAATTGGCATACACGGTTTGGTGCGAGTCCACCAGCATACGTGTAGTGCTGCCCCAATCTCAGATATCATCTCCGCACTCTCTGCTTCCAGATCACTAGGCCTGTAGGGAATTTGAACCCTTGTTCTATTTCTTTGACGTGTCAAAAGGACGTATGAGCTGAAAGCGATTACGGTTCATTTTGTCTTGGGTATTTTGCAACTAGTGCAAACGGCAGCTTCACATAAAACAGTAAATCTCACCCACCCACATTTCGCCAACACTCAGGTGGATCGAGCTTTAGGGCACACGTAGAACATCCGCATTTCTTTTGGTAGCAGCAGTCTAACGAAATAGGAAAACAAATCTATACCAGCACGTCACCATGATCTGTTGTTGTTCGGTCGTTGTGGGAGTACGATTAGCCGCTCAGCTGTACATCCCGTGGAATTATATCGGAAGTTAAAAGAGTCCCAGAGAGTCCCACCGGCCACCGGAAATTAACTAATGGGCAATACTTTTACGCTTGTTAAGTCATTCGCAACTACTGAATGTGTCATGACCGTGGAACAAACGGTTGAACGTGAATCCTCAGTGATCTATTTACACAGTTTCCATGGATACTTAAAATACCAAAAATTCTAGTACGATGGCATATTAAGGTTTTCCAAATTGGCCGGATACGTATCTGGGCGATAAGGAATATTTAAACATTCAAGTCTGCCAAGGCGGGGAACTCAAGTCAAGTCAATAAAATGCTTAATACACCAACAACGCTTGAATATTCAGCCGTAAACAGACTGGCTTCATCAAATAAATGCATCGTACGCGCTGGATTCTTCCATCACCTTTCTTTCTAAAATGGGTGATTAGATTTGACCTAAACGCTTCTTTATCTACTTTAGGATTCTTTTACCATACCAATACTGTAAAATTCCTTCTCGTGCTCATTGCGAAACTGATTTTGATTTAATTGTCCAAGCTGATGGAATAAAATGAGATTTGATAAAATCTGTTCAAAAGGCACTGCACTCAGCTTTCTTTTTATTTCTGTATTCTGCTGGAATTAACTCCTTAGGCGGCCGCGCACTTGCAAATAGATCCGATGAGCCTCCAGTAGCTGGTAGACATTGTTCCGGACTCATTTATGCAGAAGTAGCATCTCATATTTTCACCGCCTAATTGTTACGAATTCTTATTTTGCTAAGGTGGTTTATGTGAAGGTAACATTCAGTCTACAACAGCGTTGTCACTAACCCTTTTATCATTTGCTGGGATAACATTAAGCAACTGTCGAAGCGCCATCAACATTTGAACACGGTAGCCAGTGCATTACGCACTGCTGTCGAGATGTTGCAAACCACCAGCCAAAAACGTCGGCATCGACCCAATCTGAGCTGGCCTTTGTCGAACTCGACGAGGGTCATTAACATATTTCAAGGACACATGCACCGATATGCGTCCTCACGTCGTATTCACACCCCCAGACATGTGTGGGTGAGTAAATACAGTAGACTTACATGCCATTGGTGGGTCGGCAAATTAGTGCGTTCCAATCTACCCCTGACCAGCGCGGCGCCTAAGCAAAAACGAAAGACTCTTATCAAATGCACTGTAAGCGCACAACCGAAACCATGTCTATGATTCTAACGTCGTCGGCATGCCTTCTCGCATTCGCCAGATTATCTCATCCGACATTCGTGACCGAGTTTTGGGCGCTTTCGTCAACGGTGATGACTGGCAGGTTGTGGCAACTGTGAACAACGTCAAATATCAAACATCCCACTCCTGGATTCGTCGTTCTCTTGAGCAGGAGTCGAGTACTACGCAGGCGCGCGGTCGTAAGCGGCTTTTCTCGGAGGAAGACCTAGATGACATCCTGGATTGGATCGCAAGGGACTCAACTCTTACGCTACGGGAAATGCGAGTACGAGTACGAGCAGAAATGGACAAGGACATTTCGAAGTCAACAATCGCACGGCGCCGAGATGGTTGGTTGATAACTAGGAAGAACATCTAGCAGGTTCCCGAGGGAATGAACAATGAACGAAACAGAGGGATACACAAGGAATTCGTTCAGCAGTTTCTCCAACTTGAGAGCGATGACAAGTTGTTCATTTGGATTGACGAAGCGAACTTCAACGTTTACTGCAAGCGTACTCGTGGTCAGGCGCCCAGAGGAGTGAGGGCCTGTTGCAAAGTTGCCAACAGCAGAGGCCACAATTTGCATTTAATCGGTGCACACACGATGGGATGGAAAGTGTCAATGACCACCCGGAGAGGCTCATTCACAGGTCCCCTATCTCTCGAATGGCTGCAAAGCTATTTATACGATCTGCAACGAGAGATGGACCTTCGGCAGGTTGTCGTGGTATGTGATAATGCACCGTGTCACACAAGACTGGAAGAACTGTCGTCAGTAGATGGACCAGATGGAGTAACCATACTAAGATTGGGCCCATACTCTCCGTTCCTCAATCCGATCAAGAATGTTTGGCAGGTGCTGAAGGCCAGAGTGAAGAATGAGATGAGAGTGCACTACGAGGAACTTCTGGCTGGGATCCCCAGAAACTCATAACGCAGATAGAATGGAGGCTGCAGTTCTTTGAACGAATTGCCAATGCAGCCACCAAGGATA